GGCCCTGCCCGGCTGCCTGCCTCAGGGATGGGCACTTCATGCCTGTCTCGCCACCTCCTGTGCCAATGTTGTCCCACCCGGGAGTGGGGTGCAGCTTCCACTTACTGGTTAGAAGACACCACTGCCCAACCTTTCCCCCTCCCTGTCTGGTGTCATGCCCCCATCTGTCCGTCTGTTCCTCTGTACTCCCCTAGGAGAAGTATTTTGCCACATATAAAACCACCGTCCTGTCCTTTGTGGCCGCCTCCTGAGCCTGCTTCTTTGTTCCCACGGTACAGTTGCCATCTAGACGTGTGGGAGCTGCCCACCGGCAGGGAGGGAGAGCGAGGGATTGGGCACAGGAATAAGCTGTGGCCTGAATTGTTCACTCAGCAGGAGAATGGTGCTTGGTTTTGCAGCTCTCTGATGCATTATGTTCAAGCCTGACAGGAGCTTCATGGCCTGTCTGAGCTCTCCACTCAGCCCCAAGCCCCTCGTCTGGTCCACCTCCGCATCAGTAGAGGCGGGAAAATGGGAAGCTGAGGAGGGGAAGTAGGGTGAGATCTAGACCCGCTGACACGCTGTCTTCGAGGCACGTGCTTGTGTTTCTGTTCCTGTGGCCTCAGCTGCTCCCCAACACCTCAGGAGAGGGAGGCGCTGAGCTGCTCCCTCCAGTGATGCCCCACAGCTACCCCCCCAGCCCCTGCTGACCAGCCTTGTGGGAGGGGAGGAGGTCTCCGTGGTGCGGGGTCGAGAATCTGAAATTCCCGCAGCCCCAGCCTGAGAGACCTAACAATCAAGAGCAAGGAAGAAAATCAGCAGGTGACAATGCCAGTTACTGCCGTCACCAGCTGGCAGGATGTGGACTTCTGATGGTTGTTACTGCTGTCATCTGTAGCCTGCATCACACTGCACCCACAAACCATTTCTCCACTCTCCTGATTCTTGTTTTTGGGGTGGTGGACCTGGAGGACTAGAGCTCCTGTCCAGTCCCACATGCTCCTGCCCAAAGCATGTGTTTGCGTGTGTGTGGGTCAAGGGCCACAGACATCCAGACCCTCCAGATGAGGTGTTAGCAAACACAAGGAGAGGAACTGGGCAGGCCCACAGGCCAAGTGGCTGGTCCACCCACAGTCCACAAGGAGGTGATGGCAAAGCTGGCACCGCTGGGACTGGAGCCCAGTCTGCCTCACATCATAGTGCTCTTCTCACTGCCTTTTGGTGGAATCAATCCTTCCTTCCCATGTTTATTCATTGAACAAACATCTATTGAGGACCTACTATGTACAAGGCACAAGTCTAAGTGGGAGCCACAGACAATTCAGGACCACACAGCAAGCTCTCTGATGCAGGAAGCACTGGGTCCTGGGAGAACCTGAAAGAGGGGATCACTGCCTTAACCTGGGGAGGTCGGGAGAGGTTTCCTGGAGGAGTGGAGTCTAGAAGACTGGTTAAGAGTTAACCTGAGCAAAGGAGGGGAAGTGTTCAAGGCAAAAGGAATCAGGTGACATGCATGACCCATTCTTGGCACTTTACTAGCAAAGTATGTTCTCAAGGTAGTGGTAAGAGAGGGGCCAGCAGGAGCAGGTCACAGTGGGCCTTGAGTCATGTTAAGGAGTTTGGACTCTGTCCTGGAGCTGGTGTGCAGAAATTGAAGGATGGTGAGCAGCGATGCGAGATTGCCCTTGCTGTGGTTTGGAGCGTAGACTGGAGGGGGGAAACAGTTGCAATCCTCTAGGTGAGAAATGAGGAGGGTTCGCCGTGGAATGGGGAAGGAGGCGATGGAAACATCTAGCAGTTAGGATTGAGAACTCTCGGAAAACGATTAGAGGCGGCCAGTGAGAGAAAAGGAGGCGCCTGGGATGACCGTGGGTGATGGTCTTCCCAGACATAGAGGAAGCAGGTGAAAAAAATAGGTTAGAAGCAGAAATGATATTTAGCTTTGGACAAGGTGGGTTTAAGGTCCCTGTGGGAAGACATCCAAGAGGAGAAGAGCAGAAAACAGCTGAGTGCTTGGTCTGGGGCTCTGCAGAGAACTCCATCTGCAGTGGAGCCTGATATTTTGAATCAAAGGCAGGGATTACTAGCTTCAGTTTACAGATAAAGCTCAGTGAGGTTAAGCAACTTGTCCACAGTTACGCAGCCATTGAGCAAAGACTCAAACTGAGATCTTTGGATTTCAAGTTCTGCGGTGTCCGTGACCCCCCAAGTCTTGTGCTAATTCTCCTGCCGTGGGATGCCCCAGCTTCTGCAAGGAGAGGGATGCGGAGGAGGAGGAAGCCGGTGTCTGAGTATGTTTCTGTCATCTCTCCATATGCCTTCTGCCTGAACTTACTTTTGCCCAGAACTTGCAGGCAGGGGCATTTCTAGGTGACTTGAAGATACTGAGAAATGAAGAGAGAGAGAGATTCTCATCTCTCGGTAACCACAAGCCCTCAACCAACACACGGTAAGCACGTTGGTGGTTGTCAACATGTGAGGATCTCAATAACCACGAAGTCGGCTGGGACTAGGCTCAGAGAGGCTGGTGCTGCTACCACAGCCGCCTCAGGGACTAGGAACTGAGGCACTGGGGACCCCTCCTGTTCAGTTCCCTACTCTCCCTCCCTGACCAGCTGCTTCTGTCTTTGCAGTAGGTTCTGCCCCAGTGTGAGGTGAGGTTGGAGAGGCTGAAGGTTTTCACCATCCTAAAAAAAAGGGAGCTGAGTTGAGGCCACCAGGGCCTGGGAGGGAGGGGCTGTTCCATTAAAGTACCCTCAAGAAAAGTCTTGTCTTAGCTTCAATAATCATATCTTCAGAGAAGTGTGCCTTGGCTTCCTTCTAAATCAGGCCTTCCCACCTTCTGTCTCTCAGGGGTTCTTTTTTGTTGTTGTTTTGTTTTTTGATTTTTGGTAAGTGTATTTGTCTCCCTAAATAGATAGCAAGCTCCAGAAGACCCAGACAGGGTCTGTTTTATCTACTTAGCATGTTTCCTAATTCCTGGCTCCCATTCATCAAGTGGATGAGTAAATGAATGAGTGCCCCCCACTAAGATCCAGGCTGTGGGCCTCACAGGAGCTCTTGTCTGTTTACCAAATGTGCTCCAGCTAGCTAGGATGTCACTTTCAATTCTGCAATTTCTGGTGGTAGTGGGGGCAGGATGCACTGAGAGGTTTCTTCCCCAACTCCCCGCCCAGGAAACAGATGGTAAAAATGTTTAAAACATGGCTGTTTCCCTCACACCTTTCTGCACCCCTACCCTACCCCACCCAGGCACATCCCCGGCCCTTTTTTGCCTGGGGCTGAAATGGAATCAGTGCAGATGGGCTCTGATAGTCAATTCTCCTTCCTTCGAACTCTGGGCACCATCCTGGGTGGGATGAAGATTCTGTGTTTAGTGAACTCTTCCCTCTTCTCTCCACAAACTTCCCAGCCTTCCTCAGTCCTCTTCACCTCCTGCTCATACTCCTTTTTTTTTTAAACACTCCAAACACCATTTCTCGGGCTGTAATTTAACATATGGCCCTTCAATCCAGTAGTACCCACAGGGTGCCAGGCTCTGGGCCAGGCAGGGAGCAGAGGGAGCACACAGGTCAACATGACATGACCCGGCCCTCTAGGACTCACAGTTGATTGGCCAAAGCAGACATGCCACTTACAATCTCAGCATAGAGAGAAGCCCCATTTGGCTGGAGATCCATGCCAGAGTTTGGGAAGCAGGTGACTTCTATGGCAGACACATTTTCAAGGACTCAGGAACCCACCTTTCTGAGAAGTTGAAAGATATTTGGGTGGAGAACACGCAGAAGCAAAAGCATAGTTGGAAAGAGCTGAGCACGTGTGGGCAGGGACCAGTGAATGCAGAGCCTGTGGGACAACCTGCAAAGGCAGGTGAGGGCTGTTCATGGAAGCTCTTCAATGTCAGGTGAGGAGACTGATCTGAATCCAGTGGGCAATAGGGAACCATTGAAGTTTTATGAGCTGTAGAGTAACAGACTCTGAGCTGTGCTTTAGGAAAGTTAATAGGGCTGTGAGAAGGTTGCCCTGGGTAAAAAGGTGGCAGAAGCAGGGAGAGGAGATACAAGGTCGTTCCCTTGGTGGAGGGGAGCACCGATGGGCTGTAGGAGGGCAGTGACACTGGGATGGAAGGAGCCGAGTCTCCTGCGTGGTGGCTGGTCTCTCTTAACCGCCCCCTCAGCCTGAGGTTGGTTGCCTTCCCTACTTCTCTTTTTGTCTTCTGGTTTTTCCCAGTTTAAGCAAAGAAGGAAGTTCACAAAAAACAAGCGGCTTCCCCTTCCTTTCTCTCCTTCAGCCTGGCTGTCTCTTGGCCCAGGTTCTCCTCTGCTAGGTCTTAGCATCCTGGACTCCTTTGTAAGGTCTCTAGCTGAGAGAGCTCTCTTTTTGCTCCATCTTTGTCTTCAGATGTCCCCTCCCTGGGAATCAGAAAGCTGTGCCCAGGCAGTTGATTTGTCAGTGAATCACAGAAGCAGAGCTCGTTTGCTCCTAGAAGTTGCCTATCACCAAAGGGCCTGGAAAAGGAGGGGACACCCTGCCCTTCCTCAGGGAAGCTCACTCTGAGTAGGCCTACAAGACCCACAGTGGTGAAACAGCTAGAGATCTGTTGAGGGTTGGATTGTCTTCCCAGCTCAGAGAGGATCAGTGGGCCCTGCCTGCTTCCCACAGCTAGTACAGAAAGTGGGTGGCCTAGGGTTTTGCTTGTCTAGTGCCCCAGAAATGGCACTTGGAGAAGGGAGAGCTGGCATCCAGTTGTGGGCCCCTGTGCTAGGTCTCCTTGATTTGCAATGGAGACTAATCCATCCAGAGAACGATGGAGTTTTCTCGGGGCACAGGGAAGGATGTAAAATCTGGACCCCATTTTTCTTGCACCTCCAGTGCTCTGGACAAGTAGCTTGTTGTCACGGTGATGCCCACAGCGCTCGAGGGGCCAGCGTCCTAGGGGATTCCCACGCCCCTCTGGGGACTTGTGGGGCTTCCGTTACCTCCTAGGCAAAGCTCGCCCGGCCCTCCCCGGGGGGGCGGGGCTCCAAGCACCCCGGCTTAACCCGGCCCCCGAAGGCGGTGGAGTCCCGACCCTGTCTGACTCCTGACGCGTTATGGGACAACTGATCGCCAAATTGATGGGCATATTCGGGAAACAGGGTAAGGGGCGCACAGGGCATCAAAGCCACCATTTTGATCCGGCTCCCACCTGAGGGTCCCCGATCTGGAGACTCCTGGGCGGATGCGCTGGGAGACCTTGGGCTCGGAGAGTCCTGCATGGTGGTTCCCCGCCTGCTCCGCAGTTTTCCCTGCCCCCTCTCCGCCTACTCCTCGCGGATCGCAGGCTTCGGTGCGCCCTGGGGCGCGGGGCTGGGACAGCCTTCTTCCTTTGGCTAAAAGCCGCCTCCTGTTTCCTGCTATTGTGACTTCACGCTCGGCTCTCCCCAGACCCCTTCTCTTGGCAAGTTCTGAGCCCCTCGACCTTTCGCACAATCGCTTTTCTGGAAATGTGGAGCGAGGAAAGTGGGGCTCAGCTCTCATTTCCACTGTCCGAGAATGGCGCAGGTGTCCAGGGCCCGACGGGAAAGAAACCTGTCCTGTTGGCTTTTCTGCGGGGGAAGGGGGCCAGGGAGCAGAAGTAGTACGGTGGGTAGAGGTCCCCCAGCCTGCTGGGAACACTTGTCTCCTTCCTGGGAGGCCTGGTGGGGCACACAGTCCCTTGGGCATGGGATTTAGTCCTGACTCTGTCCTTCTCCCGGATACCTCCAGAGCGCAAGGTTATCATCGTGGGACTAGACAATGCAGGAAAGACCACTATTCTCTACCAGTTGTAAGTGACTCTCGGATGGGGAGAGGGGGCTGGGCCTTTCCAACCAGACTGACAGGCACTTGGACCAATCACCGGAGTCCTTCCTTGGGTTCCTGGTTTCCCCTGTAGCAGGAATGACTGGGGGAGTGCTGGTGTGACCTTCCTGGTATAGTGGTCCCTCAATTCAGTGGCTTATCGGTCTGGCATTCGAATCCTGCTCGGTATGAGCAATCCCACTGCTCCCCGCCATCTACCTCCACCCCCCACCCCCGGCCCTGCCAAATCCGGTTGCGGGCTTGTCGCTGTCGGAACGTGCCCGGTGGTCTCCCTGCTCCTCGCTCCCCCTAGCGGCAGGTCTCTCCTTTCTAACTCTTGCACCCAATCCTTGGGTCTTAATTTTCTCTCCCTTCTCCAGACCCAAAAGGAAGAACTGTCTTTGGATCTGGCTGGGCTCTGTAGCTCCTAGGCTAGCAGAGTCTAGCACATGTGCTGGGTAATTATCCATCGGAGCATTTCCTGATATTCATTCCCTGGAATGGCATCTCACCCATTTTGGAGCCTCCAGAGTATTTACTCGGGAAAATTTTCCCCTGAAAAGTAATATATGTAAATTTTTTTAATTAGAAGGAAAGAGAAATTCAAACAATACAGGCATATATAGTGAAAAGTAAGTTTCCCTCTCATCCTTAACTCCCAGTTTTAGTTCCCAGATTTTCCAGAGGCATTCCCCACATATAAAAACGTGTGCTTTTGTAAGTCACTTTCAAAAAAGCCCCTCTCTGATGGCCCTCATTGTGTCTGTTTAATTTTTCTGATCCCTTGCTACTCAAAATGTGGTCCACAGAGCAGCAGCGATGGCATTATCTGGAAGTTTGTTAGAAATACAAAATGGGGCCCACTGGATCAGAATCTGCATTTTAGCAAGATGCCCAGGTGATTCAACTGCATATTAAAGTTTGGGGTGACTGCTCTAATAAATCTCTCCTCTCTGGGGTCCAAGCCAGGTAAGGTTTGGTCTCACTCCTGTCTGCAGTCCCTCATGCCCAGCAAAGGCTGGGTCAAGCGGGGCTGAGTTGTTCTGAGTTAGATTCAGCCTGACTTTAAGGTGGGGCCAGAGCTGAGTGTGGACTGGGCTGAGCGCTCATACCCTCTTCTTCCTTCCCAGCCTGACGAATGAGGTGGTCCATACATGTCCCACCATTGGTAGCAACGTGGAAGAGATTGTTCTGCAAAAGACCCACTTCCTCATGTGGGACATAGGGGGACAGGAGGCTCTGCGTTCCACCTGGAACACGTACTACTCCAACACTGAGGTAAGGAGGGTGCTTGGGCTGGAGGAGCTGTGTGATAATTAGTCACTTGACTTCTCTGAGCCTTGGTTCTCCTATTGTGAGATGGAGACCATAATAATGACCTCTCTGAGTTGTTATGAAAATTAAATAATAAAACAATAGCTGGTGCATACGCATTGAATACAGCTCAATGCCTGTTAACATTTTTGAATACTTCCTGACAGCCTTCTGTTTGATGCATTGGCTAGGGTAGGCCCTTTGTCTTTCTCTCTCTGGCAGCAACAGAATCTGGTGGTTTCATTCCTGGAGGGAGAGCTGATTTCATACTCCAACACTGCCACTCCTAGGCTGTGTGGCCGAGGGCAAGATATGTCACTCCTCTGACCCTTAGTCTCTTAGTTTGTAAATGGGGATAATAAGCATTCCAGTTCCACAGGGTTGTGGTGAGGCCTGGATGGAGTCATGGTTGCCCAGTACTTGGCATAGCCTCTGGCACACAATCTGAGCTTGTGCTGTGCACACCCTGTGTCTGGATAGAAAAGGGAATTAAAATGGGATGAGGGCAGTGAAGTCTTGAGACTGGACAGTTTGTTTTCTGTGGGGCTCATATCAGAGTGATGCAGAGGCCAGGGAGGGAGCACAATGGGCAGGAGACACATTCTTTGAAGAGAAATCCACCACTCACAATTCCCCTTTGCTGGCCAGTTCATCATCCTTGTGATTGACAGCACAGACCGGGATCGGCTGCTGACCACTCGGGAAGAGCTGTATAAGATGCTGGCCCATGAGGTAAGCCTTGCAATTGGGAGAGGACTCAGTCATTCGCTGTGTGACCTCAGTCTTCTCACTTAGCCTCTCTGAGCATCATTCCTGATGCCCCAGTCTTGGGGAGCCTCTATCCCAGCAGGCTGAGTAAGGCTAGATTATTCCAGTGGAAGGGCAATAATGCCCTCAGCACAACTGATTACAGAAGCCAGAGTTGCTGATTTCAGTCCTGACCCCACCTCTCATTCATTGTGGGACCCCAGACAAGTTACTTTGCCTCTCTAATTCACAATTTTCCCAAGTATAAATTGGGGATAATCATCAAATTTCTACCTCCTGGGACAGTTGTAAAGATTCTATGTGCTGGCTGGGAGGCATTCTATGACCTGTCAGTGTCATTTGATGTGGTTGCTACTGTTGGGCAGGGCCTCCATCCCTGCCGCACCTGGGCATGGGCCTCTCTTGCTGGGAAATCGGGAGAACCAGGAAGGACTCAAGGGGCAGGGGGAAGGGAGGCTAGGTCCCAGCAGGCTGACCGGGGCTGGTCTCCTCTGTCCACAGGCTCTTCGAGATGCTTCCGTCCTGATCTTTGCCAACAAGCAGGACATGAAGGACTCTATGACCACCGTGGAGATCTCCCAATTCCTCACTCTTAGTGCCATCAAAGACCACCCATGGCATATACAGGGCTGCTGTGCCCTCACCGGGGAAGGGTTAGTGACTGTCTCACCTGCATCTCCAGGGCCTGGCCCAACCAATGCAGCTGACCATCAGAACCTTCTCCCGTCTCTCTCCTGTCAGAATCTGGCTCAGTGTTGACTGCTGGGTCAAGAGAACAGGGCACCCACCCCCGGTTAAGATGCTGTGGGGAAGCGGTGAGCAAGACAGGGTCCCTGCCCTCAAGGGACTTGTTCTAGTTGAGAGAGAGGTGACACACCCCACCTCAACACAAACATTTTAGGTTCTGATAAGTGCTGTGAAGAAAGTGAAACTGGACCACAGGGACTGGTTTGATTTAGCTCTGGTGGTGGGGGACAGCCAGGACGAGGAGGTGACTTTTGAGCTGAGACCCGAACGAAGAGACAGCCAAGAGAAGACCAGGGGCACAAGCCTTCCAAGCAGAAATTACTGACTCTTTCTGACCTCAAGTTTCCTTATCTGTAAAGAGGAGGGTGATTAGTCGGGAGGGTATAGCTCAGCATGCTGGAGGTCCTGGGTTCAATCCCCAGTACCTCCATTATAAATAAATAAATCTAATTGCCTCTCCCTAAAATAAATAAATTAAATTAATTGTACTGAAATAAAATTAGTGTAATTTTAAAAAAGAGGAGAGTGATTAGACCTGTTCCCTCCCAGAATTTCTGCAGAGAATGAATGGTACCATTTATTTCACTTTCATTGAGCATATCTTCCCTATCAGTCCTCCAAGGTCCTCCATATCTGTGGGTTCCACATCCTCAGTTTCAGCAAAAATTCCAGAAAGTTCCAAAAAGCCAAATTTGAATTTGCCACGTGCCAGCAATGATTTATATAGCATTTACATCGTATTAGGTATTATAAGTAATCTAGATTTAAAGTATATGGGAGGATGTCCCTCAGTTATATGCAAATACACGCCATTTTATATAAGGGACTTGAGCAACTGAGAATTTGGGTACCCACGGGGATCCTGGAACCAATCCCCCATGGAGACAGAGAAATGACTATATTTTGTGCCAGGCACTGTTCTAGGCACTTGAGAAACAGCAGTGAACAAAACAGACAAAAGTCTCTGCCCTCATGGAGCTTGCTTTCCAGTGGGGTGGGTGAAACAGACAATAAGCAATAAAAAATAAGAAAAATATATAGTAAGTTAAAAAGTGGTAAGTGTAAAGGGGGAAAATCAGTCAGAAAGGGAAGTTGGATGTATGTAGGGGGAATATTGCAATTTTAGATGGCATCCAGGGAGGGGCTGCTGAGAAGGTAGCTGCTGATTAAACACCTGCAGGTGTGAAGGAGCTAGGTCACGGGCACACAGAAAGGGCCTTGAATCAGGCCTGGAGAATTCCCTTTCCTCTTCCCTCTCAAATGGAATCGCAGCACGCTGAGGGCCTGGGTGCCCAGTTGAAGAAGAGAGGACTTTAGGCAGGTTGGCCCAAGGAACCATACATTTCTGGCAGTGTCCTGGATCGGGAGGGACCCCCCCCCCACAAACCCACAGTCAGTTCAATTCAATCAGTGTTTCCAAAGTAACCCCCATGTGCCATACAGGCATGACCAAGACCCCGCTCTTGCTCAGGAGTTGCTCACAGTCTAATGGGAGCACTTGCTTGTGGAGCATCTTCCCAGGCCTTTGAAGCCAGCCTGGCACTGACCCAGGGATGGAGTTGGTAGGAAGGGGCACTGGAGCCTTGTCTAGAGACATTGCTAAGGTAGGGCTCCTGGCCTCTTCCTCAAAGAAGCCCTCCCTGACTCCCAGACATCCAGAAATCTCTGAACATCCCCTTCCTAACCTTTATCACAGCATGTAATTAGAGAATTATTTGTTGATCATTTGTTTAATATCTATTTGCTAGACTGTAAGCCCTGGAGGGCATGTCTGTTTTTTCACCAGCACAGTACCTGATGCATAGTAGGTTCACAGTCGGTTTATATTTGTTAACTGAACCTAAATTTGGATGTAAATTTGGTGGCTCCCTCATCAGCTCTGGGCAGGGGCTGGAGGCTGGGAAGGCCATTATCCTCATGGGATATGCTGATCCTTTCCTGTTCCTCTCTCCCTGCAGGCTGCCTGCTGGGCTCCAGTGGATGCAATCTCGGGCCACTGCCAACTGATTTCCCAGACGGAGGCCAACCAGAAACTCTGAGGGTTTTGCATGGACTATATGGGTGGAAAACCTATGACTATTTATTATTTTTCTGTGGTTCTCTGGTGGGACCAGTGGCAGCTACGGACAGTGAGATTGCCACTGTCCACCCCCCACCCCCACTGAGGAGCTAGACTGAACACCCTGAATTGCTGCAGACAGGACAGCAGGGAAAGCTGCCCTTCACTCCACAGAAGCAGGTATCCTTCCTGGAGATCCCAGGGAAACTGTTGTATGTGTTGGGGGATTAGGAAGTGGAGCTCCCTCCCCTCAGTCCTCAATCTCTCTGTAGGAAAAGTGGAGGACAGAGGAAGAGATCCCTGGAATTGTTGTTTATTTCCTAGAACCCTTCCCCTAACCCCCTTACCCCTACCCCAGCTTTCTGGCCCTTCAGCCATCTTTGTCCCATACACTTTGGGCAAAGGAGATTCCAAAAAGTTGAAGAAATAGACTCAGAGAAAGGAAGGGAGGGCCAAAAGCTGGAAGGGGAGGGGGAGGAGGACAAGACACCCTAGATGGGGACCCTCACACTGCAGGGAGTGCTACTTCTTCCTCACCCTCCCATTCCCTCTGAGATGCTGGCTCTGACCACAGCTTTTGAGTTTTAAGCCACCCCTTCACTCCCAGTGTCCTTCCCAGTGTGAATCCCATTCCTCCCAAATGTCCCAGATTCCTGTAGCATTTGCTCATCTTGTCTTTTTGTAGTGATTTTTTTCACGTTGCATTAGGATTTTTATGAAAGTGTAATAAATGCCATTGAAAACTGCTCACCTCATTTCTGCCTGCCCCTTCTGCCTGTGCCTCAAACTGGCTTTCGGTTTTCGTGCAAAGCTCTCAGGCAGGGGGAATCCACCTTGAAAAATGGAGGGGGGCTGCCTCAAGGGTCTGTGTGGCTAGGGGACTGGCTCTTTGGCCCTTACTTGCCAGGACTTGGAGCTCTGGACTCTGCCTGGGCCTACAGGAAGGAGTGGTTTGATGCTAACTCACGGAGTAAAGGAGTAGGCGCCCCTAAGAGAGAGAAAAACCCAGGAGTCCCATCTAGGTAAAGCTGGAAACAGGATGGAAACCCAGGCTGCCCATCTGTGTACAGGGAGTAGTGCTTTTACCCCAGAAGACCTGGAATAATCCTGAGGTCACTGAACCTCCCAAGTCAGGTAGTGGACATCTCTGTGAGAGTCTGGACACACATATAAGAAGCCCATGATTTCTTAAACTTGTGATTTCCATAAGGCATGATTTGGAGGAAGAACTCTGGAATTCTAAACACCCCTACTCGGATTCTACGTTCTTTCCATTAGATTACCTTCCTACAGAAATTATAGATGAAAGGTGTTAGTCCCTTATTCCATGGAAACTTACTCTAACCGAACAGTCAGCACGTGGCGGGGGTATAGCTCAGTGGTAGAGCATTTGACTGCAGATCAAGAGGTCCCCGGTTCAAATCCGGGTGCCCCCTTTCTACCGTAGACTTTTCGCGTTTTCTTAGTCAAGCAGTCCACCTACGGAAGGTCTCAGGAGAAAATGATCCTTGGGCACTGCGTGACCTCTTTTGTGAGCGGGTGAGAGAGGAGGTCCGGGCCCTGTCAGACCACGCCCCCAGCCTCTTGATGGATTGTACAGTCGGCCTATTCTCGTAACGGTAGGGCGGAGGCGAGAGCGCCCCCAGGTGGGCCTGCCTGGAGACTCCGACTGCTGTCTGGAGGAAAGGAGTTTCTAAGGGCTGGGGAAACAAGGCATGGAGGAGTCCGCGTGAGCGTGTAGGAGGGAGACATAGGCGCCTAGAGAAGCGCTGCGGGGACTTTTGCAGGACGGAAGGGGACCTGGGCCCTGAAGTGAGAAATCTCGAGGGACTTCCCCTCCCACATTCTCCAACTGCATTTTTATTAATCATTAGAATTCCTTAGTTACAGAGCTTCAGGAAACAAACCCTGCGTCCAGATGAATAATCACTTGAGATTTATATCCTTTCTATTTCTTGTAAACATTGAACATTACTTCTGTTCCTAAGCACATCAGGGCGCCTGCGCCGGATAGCACTAAGAAGTCACCGGCGCGAGCTTGCCGGCAGAGGGGGTATAGCTCAGTGGTAGAGCATTTGACTGCAGATCAAGAGGTCCCCGGTTCAAATCCGGGTGCCCCCTCATTTTCCCTTTTAGGGCATGAAATTTCGCGTCTCGAGCAATCTTTCTTTAAAAGCTTTTTCTTTTTGCTTCCATAATTTTATGTTGACATTTCCTTCGCCACCTTTATTTTGGGCAAATGAGGAGCGGTGAGCGAGTACAAAATACGGGAATTCTAGACCAATGCCTCTCAAAATGTGGTACTGGAAACAGCACCACCACCTGCGAACGTGTTAGAAATGCGGATTCTCGGCCCCATTTAAGAACTGCTGAATTAGCACAGGGAACTATGCTCAATATCTTACAATAATCTTTAATGGAAGAAAATATGAAAACGAATATATGTCTGTATATGCAAGACGGACATTGTGCTGTACACCAGCAATTGACACATTGTAATTAAATTCAATTAAAAAAAACTACTGAATTAGAAACTTGGGGGTGGCCGCCAGAAATTCCCGTTGTAATAAGCCCTCCAGATGATTCTGATACACATTCATGTTCTAGAGGCTTACATATTTAAAAATTTACATGTCATTTGCTTCTAATTATTTCCAAGTTGTTTTTTCAGCCTGAGTCCTTATAAGAGATCTTTTAAAGCAGATTGTGGGGCACAGGTGAATGTACAAAGAAATCGGTGCCGGAGCTAGAATTCCGTCCTGGGACCTCTCGGAAGGTAGGGGCGAAGAGAGGTGAACCCGCCTGGCTCTAGCGGGAGGTCGCGGACAGTGCGAAGGAGGTGGGTCCGGAAAAGTGAGCGAAAACAGCAAAGCGTGAGCGTTGGGTCTCGTCATGTGGCCACTAGAGGGCAGCAAGAAGCCGTAGCTGGAAGGAGCAGTCTTATCCTCAGAGTCGGCAAAATCAGAATTTAAATTAGACAACAAGAAGAACTTACAGAAACGCCTTGTTTGTTCCATGGTAAGTGAGTGGAGCGCTTAGGTCTGGAGGAGGTCGTTTCTGGGACCCTAGGTCCTGAAGAAGGAGGAACTGGGATTCTGAACGATTAGAGAATCTTCAGGTCTTGTTTCCTTCTCAGGTCACCTCTTTGGCCTTCTCAGGTCACCTCTTTGGCCTCAGTGCCAGGGAACCTGCCTCTTCACACTGTTCTTTCTCCTGTCCCCAGGCATACCGTCTTCTGGAGGGGCGGGGGGATTCCTTCAATGGCGCTTGTCTCTGAGTTTTCTAGCCCCTACGCCCCAGCCCCGTATAAGTCAGGGTGCCCCTGACCCCTCAGTCTCCCACCATCCAGTACTCCAGCTCCTCGCCATCGCACGAAGTAGGTCGGGGAGGGAAGAGGCACGAAAGTGTCCTGACCTGATTCCCTGCTGTCTATTAACTCGCCTAAATTGCGGGTATTTTTATTCTGTTCCGGTAGGGGAAAAAAAAAGTATTCTATCCCCAGAGCCTTTTAAAAGGTGGTGGCAGGTGGGGTGAGACGTTTTCTTGCTCTGGTGCTGGCTTTGAAGATTGACTGGGTCGGGCCCTGAGGAAGCCTGAAGTCCCCAGAGAGGAGGGTGGCCTCGGTTACCTTCTGTGGGTGGGGAGAGGTCCAGGTTATTTCAAAGTATGGGTGAGCCAGGCCCCCTCCACCCTCCATGTCTGCTGGCGGGGAGGGCAAGACGTTGTTGGCAAAGGGGGATGGGGATGGGATAAAGTGCAGGGGAGCCATGGGAGGGGGTGGAATTCAGGCCTCTGCTGTAAGGGGAGATTCCTGGGGTGGGGGTGGGCATCAGAAATCCACACAACTCTGAGGAACAGCTCAGAAAGTCGGGAAGCCTAGTGGGGCTGGATCGGGGGTGGATGGTAGGGGCCCATGGTCTGAGGAAGGGGCGCTGATCGCTTCCTGGGGTCTGGCCCCTCGCACCGTCTATCCACTGCTTTCCCCCGGGGAGTGCAGTAGGGAAAGAGAGGCAGGAGTTAAGGTGCG